AGACGCCGGGANTTTAGAATTTTTCACGCCGAAGAGAGCGGTGGTGCACGAAATATACGAACTATGACGCTAAACGCTATAACTTTCTCCAAAATCAACCAAATTGAGAAATTTTTTTTTTGTTTCATTCCTCAAAATGAGGAGAAGCATTAGGTTCATTGAGAACTCCTCCATCTGTAACTGAAATATCACCGCAACAAGGGAAGTGTACGTGAGAGCATATTCGCAAGTTTACCAACAAACCTCACTACATACGAATAGCTTGTGTCTATCTTCCATGTTGAGAGAACCAGAGTGCTCCGGAATATATCAACATCAACAGGAGAGTGTTGGAAAACAATTCAAGATAAATTCTTAACAAGTGACATCGTCCTCAGCCGTCTATGTGGTTACATGGAAGAGAAACGAGAGAGTATCAACATTGCACCGCAGATAGAAACACCAGCTATATGGTTCGATGGGAAAAGTAATTCGACAACAATCACAAGCATTCATCACCTATTATCAATGAAACAAGGATCGACTACGAAAATGAATCAGATGCGGAAACAAGTAAACCTCAGAAATGAAAAGGTTACTAGAGGAAGAGAAGGATCGTTTGCCATAGAAGCAGATTGAGGGCATGTGGGAGTCAAAAAGAAATAATCTCTCAGCATCGCTCAATACTAAAGTTTGCCAGCAGAGATCTGGTAGAGCCGGCCAAAGCAAATCAGAAGCTGGAATCAAGAGAAAGACCGATCAAGGTTAGAAGAAGAAAGTTTTCAAAATTGCAAAACATACACTGTCACATTGGGAATAAGAAAAACAATCAGTCGATAATCTGTAGGTTAATGAAAGTAAGAGGGAGAGGGAAATCGATGAGAACCAAGAAGGAAAGGAGGATGAGCTCAAACTAGAAGAACCAACTACAAGCAACATCAACAATCAGCTCATGGAAACTCTATTTTCTCTTACAGTTCAAACAGAAACAGAAAGTATCTTTCAGTACACTCCGATTCCATCGATGATTGTCAACATCTGTTGTTGTTGTTCTCATCTACCTACATGACATCGGAAATACAATCTATAGTTGGCCACTGTCCGCGATGTAGCATTGGGCAGTAGGTTTCCCTGATTCTGTTCCAAGACTGTTCAATTCCATCAGGAAATCCATCCCTTCAACAACTCTTCCGAAGACGACGTGTTTACCATCGAGCAAGGTATTTTCGACCACGCTAATCATGAATTGAGATCCATTTGTGTTTGGTCCAGAGTTAGCCTCAACAATACGAATCAGCTTAGGCACAGATGGGAAGGTATACCATAGAGAGGATTCCTGCCCCAGTATGACGAGCCAGGAAGTTTTCATCGTCAAACTTATCTCCATAGATCGATTCATTTCCGCGTCCATGGGTGATGTCACCTCCTTGGATGATGTAGTCGGGAAAAATCATATCAAGAAAGCATCCAGTGTACTGAAGAAGTGTTCCATTTTCACTATTTCCTTTCTCTCCTGTACAGAGAGCACGGAAGTTCTCGGCAGTCTTCGGGACATGATCGTAAAAGAGCTGAAATGGAATACAGATTGGGATAT